GGGTCGTGGAGTCCCCTTCTCTGGAGATCTTCAAGACCTGCCTGGATGCAGTCCTCAGTAATGTGCTCTAGGCATTCCTGCTTTAGCAGGGGAGTTGGACCAGATGATCTCTAGAGGTCCCTTCCAACTCTGACAATTCCGTGATAGCACCTGGCCTTTCTTTCAGAGGTGGAGTTCTGGCCAGAGGCTGAGAGATGCTGGAGCTCTGAGTTACATTTGACAGATGTTGACCACTTTCCCTGTCCCCCACCTTGCAAGAAGATTTTTAAATACTGATTTAAAAATGTGCATGAAGCTATTGCAGCCCAAGGGCAAGCGTTGGTGCTACACAGCTTAAGAAAAGTAGTGCCTGGCTGGGTGAGAGGAGGAGAACTGTGTGCTGCCTTTTTGAAGTTTTAGAAGGGGTGGGAAGCCACCTGTGGATTTAGCGAGCTGCTACAGTTCAGCTTTGTGGCAGAAGCATGAGACATTCTGCAGTGAGTGAAGGCCCACATGTGAAATTCCTCCCAAAGGGGCCCAGGGCTGGAGTAGCAATCCCTGCCGCTCTCTCTTCCACTGTCTGTTACTGCATCAGGTGACATTCACATCTAGAGGCTGTTCTCGAGCTTGGGGTCTTGTGGTGACAGTGCTGTGCAGGTACAAAGTGAGGACATATTGTCTCAGAAGCTAAAGTGCATGGTGCCTCCTCAGGAAATCTTCAAGCCTGCTGGGAACAGTGGGAACAGCCCATCTCCTGGTGCTCAAGCTGCCAGGGAAGTTGGACAAGTCTGTATTAGTGTTGGACAAGAGTCTGACCATTGCAGTTGAGGAGAGTGTGGTGTCACACTTGGTCTCTGATGGTAATGACCCATTTCAGAGTTCAGGGCACACAGTAGGTGCATGCATGAACTTTGGCACTTCTCTCAGAATAGCTCCCAGGTAAGTGTTGTTTCAGATAACCTGAAGTCCAGCAGAGAAGGTGGGTCTCTCATCAGCTCAAGTCCCACTAGAACATGGCAGTCCCCCTGCTGCATACAGCTGACTGGAGCAGGGACAGCCTTCTACCTCTGCCAGTTGCCCATAGAGGCAGGCTGGCTGTGCTCGTTACCAGCTGAGGATCCCTGCCCTCTTTCCTCACCAACAGCCTCAGCTGGCTCCAAAAGCCTTACCTCCATCCGGGCTAGCGTCTGCATGTGTAGGGGATGGTCCTTGAGGAGCTTCCCAAAGGCAACCCGCTTACGGGCGTACTCCCTGCTCAGGCTGATCATCCTAGAGAGAACACAGCCAGGAGAGAAGGCAGTTAGACCAGGAACCTTCCACCTCTGACCCTGCCCTTCCAGCCACCCCCATTGGAAGAACCCTGCTCAGCTGTAGCACTCCAGCCTCGGTCCCCCACCCACAGGCCAACCGTCTCCAGCACTGCTGGCTTCCAGACCTGCGCCTGCAAAGGCATTAGATGTCAATGGGCTGCAACGCCGAGCATTGCAACGTCCCCTTGTCCTGCTAAGCTGCTCCTTCAGCTCTGGGGGGGGTGTCTGCGCTGCCTTCACCTTCTCATGGAAGCCACTGCACCAATGACATTGTGGATCCGAGTTATGTTCAGCATGTTGGAGATGGAGGCCACTCCACGACCCTCTGCAGAGATCTGAAAGCATCAAGGAACCGATGTGAGTCTCTCACACAGCCTTGGAAGCTGACGTACAGCTAAGGGAAAGCTGTGTCAACAGACAGACATAGGCTGTCACTCCATCGGTCTGTCCTCAGGCACCACACAGATCTGCTTGCTTTAAAATACTGCTGTCTCATTTTAGCCAAACCTGTGGCATGACCAGAGAGGTAGCTTTGGAGACCACATCAGTAGGATCAGTTCTGGTCCCTGCCCCTTGTTCCTAGCTGCGTGCTGCACAGAACTGTCCCTCAGCTGGGCCACTGCAACTGGACTAGGGAAATAACCAGCCTAAAATGACTTTTTTTTTCTTTCCTCCCATCTTTTCCTGAGCTCTTGTCAGCTCTGTCACACACACAGCCCCACTGGTGAAGAACTTCTTCACTTGGTACCACTGCCAAAACCCTTGTGAGCACTCTGCCATGCCAAGCCAGCCCAGTCCCGAGAGGCAGGTGAATCCCTACGTACGAGCTCTGCTTTAGCTCCCTCCAGCCACAGCTCTGCTGTCGCCATCTGCCTCGTGCCCAACTTGTCTTTCAGCCTTTGCACTCGGATGCTGTTCAGCTTCCCCTCCTCGTCTCGAACCTTCAGGAAGAACAGGGACAGGCCGCTGGAACCCTGGGGCGATTAAAAAGGCAGGCAAAGAGGATTTGATTACAATGAAACGAGGAAGTAAAAGAACTTCTCCTTCTGCTCCTTCCCCAGGTTCCACCATCAAACAGACCTGTTTCACATGTCCTTCAGCATCCACTATCCTGGCCAGGGTTAATGTCACATCAGAATCAGCAGCTGATGTAAACCATTTAAAACCATAGAGGCGATATGTACCATCTGGCTGCTTCCTGGCCACTGTCTCGGTGCCGTTAGCTGCAGGAAAGGAGATTGTCTTAGCTTTATAGGAACTTCTGTATCAATCAATGCTGATTTTCGGTTTAAGCAGCAGCTCTTTTAAGTCACCTTTTGCTATCAAGAGGGAGTATGGATTAGCTGCTAATCTCTTCCATTGACCCTGGATAAGAAATGCAGCCAGAGTTAAGCACTGGAAAGGAAATATGCTCCCTTTAACTGTGAGCCTTTCCAGTGATTGCTGCAGACTGCCAGCTGGTAATGGCAGTGCTTTGTAAGCAGAAAGCACCTTGGTGTATAATCCACAGCCTCCACTTCTCTAGAAGATACCACGGCCAAGAACAACAAAGGGTGCTATGGAATCAGGAGTCCTGCAGTGACGCACAACCCTGGAGCTCCTGCTCCACAGCTGACCCTTTCACTTCTTCCACCAGGAAACCAACTGCAGCTTCATCCCATGGAGGCGACTGTCTCCACAGCGGGGTCCTTCCTGAGGTCTCTGGGCCCATCAGGCTATTAACTAATGTTAGCCAAGGAATAAAGGTTGAAGGTAAGAATGCTTCCTCAGTCCCAGCTGGGATGGGTCCGACTGTCTTCCTCAAGGTTTAGGTTACAGAGCTAGACATCAGTGTGTATCCTGTGCGAGGAACACAGCTCTGTGCCTGCCTGTGTCTGCTGCATGCGCCAGTGCACAGAAGCTGGGCCTTTTGGTGGTTAAAAAGGCAGAGCTATGCAGAGGATTTAGATGAGTTCTGCTGAAATTTCCTAAACCAGCCACCTGGGTTTATAAGTTCTCCACACACTTCGTTTTCTCAGTTCTTGCTAACATGTCTGGCTGCTGCTGCAGCTGCTCCCCACCTCAGAACACGTACCGACATCGGAGCCACCCCTGCGCTCGGTCATCCACTGGCCAGAGGTCCAGAACTTCTTGGGGTCACGGGATGTCAGATGGTCAAAAGGGTTTTTCAGAGATCCAGGAATACCTAGTGACTGTTTTGGGGGAGGGAAAAGAAACTAAGGTGATCATAACACAGTAGATTGAATTAGTCAGTTGCCTCAATTAACACTGGTGTGTCCTAGGCTCCGGACGGAGGGGCTGCAAGCAGGTGAGTGGGGCTCTGAGGGTCCTGCACTGCTATGAAACTGCCCAGCTCTACACGGCTGCTGGAGCACTGTGCAGACAGACAGATGGACAGACTTGTGCTGCAAAGGAGAGCACTGAGCATCCCTCCCTCCCTCCCTTGGATTTCTGCCCTGCTAGACATCTGGACAGAGAGCTTTCAAAACAGCTCGCGTGCCAGGGTATCAGCGTACATTCAGCTACGCTGGATGCCACCAGCACCAAAAGAGCTGCAGGAAAGAGGTAACTGCCTTAAGCTTTTCCTCTTTTTATTGAATTTGAATGCCCAGGGCTAGCTACTTTAGGGCTAGCTCTTCTCTGCATCCTGCATAGCCACTGACATAGTGCTAAGGGTGTCACTAAGATGCAGCATCAAACCTTCAGAGTGGTCTGAAGTCTTGCTACCTTGGTTAATTTACATTGGGTGTGGACCTGGCCCCATATATTTATCTGCCACTCCACACAGGGAATGAGAAAACAAACTATCTTGTAGTAAAAACACAGGGGACACCTTTCCAACTACCTGCAGTGCCACAGGTTTCATCTGCAGCAAAGGCCCCACTGTACACAGTGCTGTAAGTAAACAGAAAAGCCTGGGCACGGAGACTTTGTAGCTAAAGAAAAAAGGCAGTGGGAGACAGAGCTGAGTCACAGGGCAAGGAAAGGCCATGCCCGGAGCCAGATGGCAGATCAGCTCTCCTCCATCCTTGGCCAGTACTACGGTCCCTAACCAGCACTGCCAGGACGTGGGCTGGGCCCTCAGGGACCTGCTGAGCTCATACCTCAATGACTTTGGCTGCCCCATCAGTCATGGCCAGTGGACAGTTGAAACCTCCAGAGAAGCTTGAAAATAAGTACAGTTTGACAGCCTGATGCAGACGGCTGGGAAAAAAGAGAGTGAAAACAGACAGGTTACACAGTGGTTCAACAGCAGGAGGATAAAACATCTTGACCAGGAAGAGAGGAAAAAAATTACAGCCAAAACAGGTGAGAACCAGACCTCTCATTTCTGAGAGGGCAAAAACTGTTGCAGCCAGGAAGAGAGAAGAAGAGCAGCAGAGTTTCTCAGTCCCAGAGGGACTGCCAGTGTGCGGCTGGATGGAAGGCACTGCTCGCCAGCTGCTGCACATTAAGTGCAGTTTTTAAAAATAAGAAATGTGAGTACCTCCAGAGGCTGGAATACAAGGAAACTGCAAGCAAAATCCCAGATCTTTAGCTGTGTTACAACCAATGCATGTAAAGCTGGAGCAGTGTGGGGAACTGCCAGGCCCCAGAATGAGGAAGGTGACATCAAAGAATATTATGATCAACTGCAGGCTATTAGTTAGGGCTTATCACTGCTGATGTGGAACATTACAGCGGACAGACCCTGCTGTTCAGTACAGCAGTAGGTGTGCTTTTGTTCACACATCATCTGTTACCCATTATACAACAACAAGTTCAGTCCTACAGGATGCTGGATATGCCTTGCTAAGAATGGTGCTAAGATGCTAAGAATACCCAGGAAGGCATCAAGCCGTTCCCATTCTCCCCCAGTTACCTCCAGTTGGAGTATCTTCTGTCATAGGCCTCGGCTATCAGCCCCTCTTCTGCTGCAATCTCCTTCATCCTCCTCCAGGCCGAGCAGGTGACGATCTGATCCACCCGCTGCCCCCAGGCATCGTACTGCCGAAACACAGGGGGGTTCAACTCGCATTCCCATCCTAGAGGTCTGACCTGGGTTAGCAGACGGTTTCCAAACCTCTCCAGGTCCCGATTCACCTCCTCCAGTACCTGGGAAGCAACAAGAAGAGCCCTTCAGCACACCCCCGGAAGGCAAGGAGCCTCGGTCCTAGCTGGAAAGGCAGAGGACTGCCCATATTGTCCTGTAGTGCTGGTGGTCTCTTGCCACTTGGCCCTGCCATGCAGTCTGTAATGCAGCAGGACAGCTTGGCTCCTGGCCTCTGCTGGCACAGCTGTGCTCAGCTCTCACTTTTTTTCCCCCCCAAAAATCACTTTTTCAAGCTACTCCTGGCAGCATTTCTAGGTTTTACAGAAGACAGAAGCGTTTTTCTATCAGGGCTGAGAATGACACAGATGCACACGAGCAGGGGGGTTGGACGAGATGATCTCCAGAGGTCCTTCCAACCTCAGCCACTCTGTGATTTACTGCTGGAGAAGAATGCCAGGGGAAGAGCTGCCAAAACCGAAAAGCTTTCATCTGTATCGCAAAACTTCCACTGGGCTCAGTAGTTACCCACCTACCAGATTAGAAAAGGAGGGACGAAGCAACCATTTGAGCTTCAGCCTGGCACCCGGGGTCTCTAGATTCAAATTTCCACCCTGCCTCCAGCCTCCTGAACGGCCCTGGAGAAGGACTCAGGTGCCACGTTTCTGCCAGGCTTGGCTGAGCGAGACGGAGCAGCCTGTCCACAGCTAACGGAGGGAAACCGGCACCGCAGAGGAGTCAGTCATTCCAGCCCCCTTAGATACCTATTTTAAGGTGACAGGAACTGTCTTCTGCAACTGCTCTTCACTCTCTGTGGCCAAAGCTGAGGGAACTTGCCTAGAATTAAATAAGCCAACCTATAGATGATTAAAATAAAGCCAACCTCTAGCACTGTTGGACGCTCGTTAGCATAAATACAGCCAGGACTGTAATGGGGGTCACAGAAGTGCCTGATCTTTCATCAGAGGAATATTTTTTGCTGTTCTCTGCTCCCTCCAGAGATGCTCATTTCCTCCTCAATATAACAATCATGGAGGGGAATGCTGGAGTTGCTGGACCCAAAATGGTGCAATTATAAACCATATTAATTTGCTGCAAATGAAATACAAACACCGCTTCTTCCTTTCCCTGCTTCTCCCTGTATTGACTTTTCATTAACTGCATCCCGTATGATTGATTGTCTCATCACTCTGCCGTTCAGTGAGTGTAATGAGGATCCAACACACACTGTCCAGTTACTACTGTAGAAATCTCCATCCTCAGACCAGCCAGTTTGCCTTCAGGTGAACGGTGAAATAGTGTTAAAAACCACAGAACAAGGCAAAAACATGTTCGAGAGCCCTGTTGCTCACGCCGCGCTCCTGTTTGCTCTCGGTGAAGCTCAGCTGGGATGGGTGTATGCCTCCAGTGCTTATTGGATCTTGACAAGAATTTGAAGGTTGTTTTAGAGGCATAACCTGAGAGTCCAAAGTTCGTTAACTTTGCTGATCCCTGAAGCGCAAGAACCTTTGAACTGTGGAGCTGGTAGGTTTTTGTGGGCAGAAGAATGTGAGTTCAGCAAACGGGTCTCTTGGTCAGCACACCGCAGTGAACCCAAACAGTCCCTTCACCTCATCCACCATAAAAAAAACCCAACCCTGACTCACTAGCTCTGAGCTCCTGCCCTGTCTACACACAGCCTTACAAACCAAGTTACCCAAGTGAACCTGTTTATTTCCGAGAGAAAAGAACAAAATCAGAGCTCCTATGTTTGTGACTGCTGAATGTGACAGGAGCCTGGGCGCTTCATATGGAGGGGCCATCTGTAAACCATCAGGGGCAGGGCTGAAACCACAGCCCAGCAATATGTGCACTATCTGCTGGATGGTCTCATTCACCCTGATCAGTCCTTTGATTTCCCAAGGATGAATATGTTGGAAATGTGCAAATTATTGCACATTATGAGTGCAAACAGATGGTCCTATATATTAAAGGACATATTTTCCAGAGGATCACAGACCAGCAGATATCTCTCCACAGCGGTGCCCAGAAAAAGCAGGTGCTTTCTTCTGTGTTCTCCACAAATTGCCTTCAAAGAAAGAAATCTTTTGCCCCATTCCAGGGAAATGTTTGTGTTCACCACTGGGCACAGGTGAATTCTGCAACAGGAATCAACCTCCAGCACGGTGTCTGCTGCAGCAGGACGGACAAAGCTCCATCTGTTGCTCTTTTCCTGGAGAGGAAGGTGATGGTACTGAGAGCTGGCTCTCTGGATGCTGCGTGGAGCAGAGAGCAGCCTGCCTCTCCCTTTCAGCCGTGAGGCAACACTGCCCCACGGGGACCAAGCACAGAAATGTTAAGGGAGACACTGCTGATTCCCTGCTAGATTCTGCAGGTGCTTTGTCTCTTTGAGGAAGGAGTGGGGACCAGTTCTGTGCCTTGGCAAAAGACATCACCTATCCTTTTATTCTTCTGGAAATCTAAATCGTGCTTCTTCCAAAGGTGGAGATTCAGAGCAAGATCTTCATGGCTGCTCAAAGGCGTCCTCCTTTTCCCCCATCTTCTCTTCTGGCAAGAAGTCCAAAGTGGTGCTTAGGGAGGCCTCATTCCCGTCTTTTGGGATGGCAGTGACAAAAGTGAGCTCCCAATGCTGCCACCACTCTTATTACCCCATGTCTGCAAGGCCTCACAGGCCTGGAAAGCAGGCAGTGGCAGGAAGAGCATCACCCAAAGGCAGGTTCTGCCCTTCTACTCACCCAGTGACTTCACGGGTCATTGCTTCTGCTGGAATAACTCATGGAGAGGTCACACTGCTCCACGAGACCTGGTCCTTGAAAAGTGGGAAACAGTTTTGGTCCTTGGGGTGACAGCAAAGGACAGACAGCAAGATGAGCTGCCTCCTCCCAGGGGTTCCTATAGGACTGGACCCACAGCTCAGGGCCTTCCCCCTCCTCTCTGCACCCCTGCATCCGTACAGAGCCTTCCCCATCTGAAAATCCACCCAGAAAAGCCAACAACCTGTGCTGAGAACAACCCAAAGGGCCTTCCCATCCTCTTGAGTGCTGAGAGTAGCCCTCTTTCCTGGGGGGAGAGGAGTGGGAAAGCACAGCAGAGTTTGCAAGCACCTTATTTTTTTCCCTTTTTCTGAAATTTCCTACCCTGGATGACCAGGCAACCAATGCCAGCACTCACAATCCCAAAACCACACTCATGTTGCAACTCCCAGACCAGCCCCAGGAGTCTACCAAGCCCTTTCTATTTCTGTTTATGTCCTGCCAGTATTTTTCACCCCTGCACTGATTCAAAGAAAACAAGTTTTAAACAATGCTGAGCAATTCCCCCCCCCCCAGTTAAATGCCTGAAGGCACAAAAGGGCTCGAAGAAATGTTCGAATCACAGTCATAAACAGTGACCTAGACAGAACTGTAGTGTGTACGCACAGAAACACAAAGACACAGGCCAGACCTTGGGAGGAAGGTGCGTTTTCAAGTAACTCTGAAGCAAAGCATCCTCCAGATACTGGTTCCCGGTCTCGGGCTGCTCTTGGAAGAGGTTCTCGGTTTCTCTCCTTGTGAGGGGCATTTCCAGATCTTCTAACACTTGTTTCTCCTGCGCGCCGACCTGTTGCCCCTGCCCCGCGGTGGTGTTGATTCCTTTGTCGCTCGGGGGTTGGCACCTCTCCCAGAGACGAGGCAGAAAGCCACCTGACTGCCAGGGCTTGCAGGTAGCACTGGATCTCCACCAAGGCAGGCGACAGGCAAACATGATCTTGCAAAGCCCTTTCCTGTTTCACGCCGACGGCGCTCACCTCCAGACCCTTCCTCAGTTGACAGCAGCACCAATCCTGTTTGGTTTTAATGTTGTGAAGTTATTCTTTTAAAAAAAAAAAAAAAATCAATGTCTTCTCTCCTCCCTCGGGGAGGAGTCTCCAGCAGCTGTTGTCAACTGAAGTAGGGAAAAGGTCTTTGGAAAGAGACCAGTAAACAGCCTGGAAAAACACAAGTGCTCAGAAAACACTGTGTCCCTCCCAGAGAATCCATTGCAAACGGCCAGACTGACATTTCCAGAGCTGGGGGAACTCGGAGGGACGGGGGTGTTCCCACCAGCACCCCTTAAATTGCCTGGGATAATAACAGGGTAGAGTGAGAAGGGAAAAATACATTTCCTCATCTGAAGAATGACAAAATACCTGGAAGTTGGAAGAAATAGTTATGGTGGGTTATTCTCTAAATAAAGTAACAGTGAAATAGGGTAATTTTTTATATTTTTTACAAGAAATCTCCTCCTTGCCTGGGTTATACGTAGCTGCAAAATTACCTGCTGCTTATGAAGACCCTCATGCCTTTGAGTTGGGATGATGTTAAAACTCTCCCTAGCGAATTACAGGAATATTCTAAGGATGTGTTTTCCCACTTGGAGTAATTTAAAACCTGCGCCTAATTTGGGGTGACGCGCTGCTAATAAAAGCACGTGTTTTACCTCAGAGCCATTTTAAACAGGTATGGTACCGCACCACAGGTTCCTCGCCGGGGTCACCCTTGTTGGTTGGGCCTGAACCGCTGAGGGGTGACCCATTAAACCTCTTGGGCAGGGCCTGGGGAAAGGCAGGGAGACATCCTCGCCGGGGACGGGCAGGGCTGCCCTGTCAAACACCCGCCTCCCGCTTCCCCTCAGCCGGGCCCGCCCAGGCCTCCGCCTCGCCCGGCACCGAGCCAGGCCCAGCCCCGGGCGACCGAGGGGAGCCTACGGGGACCGGGCTGGCGGCTCAGGTACGCGGAGACCCCGGCCCGAGGGGGATGGAGGCCGTGCCTCAGGGAACTGCCGCATCCCACCCCCAGCACCTCAGAGACCCCTGCCTCAGGGAGCCAGCACCCCCTACTTCAGGGGTCCCACACACACACCTCAGGGGACCCCGCACTTCAGGGACCCCTCTGTGTCAAGGACCTCCAGCCTCAGCTCTCCCACGCTTCAGGGGACCCTGCACTTCAGGAAGCCCCTGCTTTGGGGACATCCTGGGCCTCAGGGACCCCCCACCTCAGGGACTCCCTGCTTCAAGGATCTCCCTGCCTCAGGGACCCTCCCCTTCAGGGACGCCCCAGCCTCAGGGAACCCTCCACCACAGGGACCCCCTGGGTCTCAGGAACCCCAGCTTCAGAGGGACCCCCCCACCTCAGGGACCCCCTGCCTCAGTGGGCCCTCCCACACTTCAGGGGACCCTCAACCTCAGGGACTCCCTGCTTCAGGGACCCTCCCCACCTCAGGGACCCCCTGTCTCAAGGACAGTGGACCCTCCCCTTCAGGGTCCCCCTGCATCAGGGAGCCCCAGCATCAGCGAGCCCTCCCACACTTGAGGGGATCCTCCACCTCAGGAAGCACCTGCTTCGGGGACCCCTGGGCCTCAGGGCATCTCCCAGCTTCAGAGGGACCCCCCCACATCAGGTACGCCCCACTTCAGAGACCCTTGCCTTAGGGACTCTCCCCTTCAGGGACGCCCCAGCCTCAGGGAGCCCTCCCACACTTCAGGGGACCCTCCACCTCAGAGACGCCCTGGGCCTCAGGAACCCCAACTTCAGAGGGACCCCCCCCACCTCAGGGACCCCCTGCTTCAGGGAACCCCTGCCTCAAGGACCCCCCGCCTCAAGGACCCTCCCCTTCAGAGACCGCAAGTGTCAGGGAGCCTCAGCTTCAGTGAGCCCTCCCAGCCTCAGGGAACCCCCAAAACTCAGGGGACCCCCTGCCTCAGGGACCCACCTGGCACCTCAGGGGACCCCCAGCCTTAGGGACCCCCTGAAACTCAGGGCATCTCTCAGCGCCTCAGGGCGGTGGGTGCTGCTGGGTGAGGGGCAGGACCAGGCCCCGGGTGGGGCCTGGCTTGGCCTGAGCTTCAACTCTGAAAAAACAGAACCAAAAAAGAAAAGAAAAGAAAAAGGCTTTTAAAGAAGCATGTGGCTGCTTTTTCTGGGCCCGCTGCAGCCTCCCAGGGCCCACATCAGGCCCAAGGGGCAGCAGGTGTGCAGGCCACAGGGATGGGGGGTGAAATCCCCTGGGGATGAAGGTTGCTAGGCCTGCAGGAGGTCTGGTTTCTCCCGATTCCTACTAATTTCCTGATCCTGGGTAATTAATTAATTGGCTTCAGAGCAGGTGGGTGGTGGAGCTGGGGAGAGCCAGGGCACCTTCCTGTAGGTGTGAGTTTGGCCCAGGTGATGCCGGAGCCATGGAGGGTACCCCATACTGGGGTGGAGGAGATAAGCTCAGTCTAACTGATGGAATTTCCTTTGCACAATAAATCAATTATAGATCAGCATGTTACAGAAAACATGTTTTCTTATCTCTCTGGCTTGCTTAAAGCAGCTTTATTTAGCTAATAACCTCACGTTGGAATAATGCCTTTGTCTGCTCTAATTGCATTCCAGTCCTGTTCACAGCCTATCATGAGTGAAAAAAAAAAATACTTTCCTAAAATATTTAACATATTAAAAATTTTGCAGGTGTGTATTTGTTTAAATATGCTTTTATAGCTGTAATCTGGCCTCATTACTAAATGAAGTGCTAAATTTAGCATAAAAGCTGTCAACATGTTCCAATCAACATGTCTTAACGACTGCCAACAAATGGAAATGAGCCTTTCATGGAAAAAAAGCTGAAAAGGTACAAATGCAGAACAAGATTAGATCAACTGTTTTGATAAACGTCCGCCTCTCCCTGCATTAGGTCGCGACTTAAATCAACCCGTTCTGTTTATGCTTATTATTTTAATTGTTAATAGAAATATTGATGAGCTGCAGACAAGGCAGTGCTGCTCCGGGGACCTGTTTGTGGCGTTTCCCTTCATTAGCATCTCCCCGTTAGCAGCTACACTCGGAGATCTCCCAGCGAGCCATTTCTCAAACCAGCTAACGCGTGCCTCGTTAATTCCATCTAATGGGAGTTTTTAATCAAGATGTCAGACGGTGCTACATCAAGCACCTCACCAAAGTGTGATACATATAATGACCACGTTACTGCTTTTATCAATCAGCTTTCCATTCGTGTAAAAAGATTTTCCTCTTTAATCGAGGTTTGTCTAACAAGGCTTGCTTTCATTGAAACAATGTGGACTTGTCTCTTTTGGGTTTTTTTCACCCTTTTTTTTTAATTTCAAGGTGTCCCAGAAGAATCATTCCCTTTTTTTCCAGCCAAGATTGATGCTGGTGCACTTGCTGCTTACCCTCGCTAAAATATTGGCTGCTATTGGCAGACTTCCAGTTCTTTCACATTCCCCCTTCACACTTTTTAGTGGTTGTAGGAATTTACATTTGTGGTTTGGAATATGAGAAATGTGTTTGGAAGTGACCAGCTGACACCAGGTACAGTTGTGGCCCTGAATTTCAAATACTATTGACCATTTACCGGTGAATAAGGAGTTTTCTCACTCTGCAGCCTCTCAGGCAGTGCCACAGAGTGTCCTTGGTTTGCTTTGCTTTTGCTGTCCTACTGGCAATTGGCTTTTAAACCTAAATAAGGCCGAAAAATCTAATTCTGAGCTTAAGGAAGATGAGGAATAGCAATGACTGTGTATTTTCCAGGTGTCTCATGGCTTTTCTTTTTTTTTCTCCCAGGTTCTAATTGCAAGTGGAAGGCAGGTCTTTGAAATACAGGATGGCAACTCAACAGCTTTTAAAGACCAGGCAAAAGAAAAAGTCCTCTACGGTAAAAACCTTGAAATGTGATGGTATCGACAATCTTAGTGCTTGGTTTTGAACCTGGCACATCTGTGGCTGTGGAGGTGGGAGCGCTTTCTGTTGTCTGCACTGTTCCTGGGTTATTTTCAATTCAGTGAGTCCAGGAAGGTACAGCATGGGGCTTTGACATGTGACTAAATAAATGTAGGCTCATTAGGTGCACACAGGGCTTTATTGCCAGGAAGAAAAACAACGACCACCTGACAGAGGAACTATATTTAGTATACTTTCCGCTGAGATTGGTCATGTTAAAATCACACAGTGTTTAGTATTTACATTAGCTCCAGTGGTAGATACCTACTGTTTACAACTCTCTGTTAAATTCACTCTGAAAACTGGGTCTGCATCCAGCGGTGGCAGGTTCAGCCTGCTGTCAGATCTCAAAAAAGCTGTGGCAGGCAGTGAACTTTGGTACAGCCACAAACACCACACCAGCCCTGGCGCTTGTTTGACTCTGCTGGCAGAAAACTATCCACTTCTTTTTTTTTTTTTTTTTAACAGAGTGGTTGTCTGTTAAGTGCCAGCATTGGTGCAGTGGAGGGGGTGGGAAAGTTCCGCTGCAATAAAAGGGAAGGGAATTACCAGTGCGTTCTGCTGCTGAGTAAATTGTGCCAGATCTAATGATAACTGTCCTTAAAACATTTAATCCCACCCATGTTAGGCATTAGTCTTCCCTGTCTAGTATGACCAGAGAAATGTTAAAATTACAAGTTACCTTCGTTTTCCACCTGCTGAGAGTTGTTTCTAAATATAATCCCTGTGTTACGCTAAAATGGTGCTATTTTTGGCTTTGCCCTTCTTTTTCAGGAGTCAGTGTTGTTCCCCAACAGAATTGCTACTGAGCAGCAGTCTGTGGCACTGGTGAAAAGACTTCTGGCCATCTCCGTGTCCTGTATCACATACATGAGAGGGCTCTTCCCAGAGAGCTCTTACGGAACCCGCTATTTGGATGGTAACACCTTCAAATTGTGCTGAACTCTTATTTCTGCTAGCTCTATTTTAGCTATAATCGGCTTTACATGTTAATTTCCAGCTGCTCGTATATGTATGAGCTCAGTGTATTAGGAATTTAACTTACAGGCCTTCTCAAGTCTGGATGCAGACTGTCCTGCATCAGACAGAGAGCGAACACAGGAGACAACTTTTTGGCAACTCATGACTTTTCTCTTAGTGTTTCTTCTGGTTTATAAACATTCCTTGCCGTTCCCAGCCTTGTGAACCAGAAATCAGAAAAGCTTAATAGAAATAATTTATTCTGATCACAGCTGTTTACCTCAGAGTCAGCAGACAGACTTAAAATCAGTTTGTTTTAAAAAATTAACTCTGATTGGTGTGTTTCATTTTCCTTTGGATTTTTGAGCCCTTGAGTTCATAATTGCAAGTTTCCTTGCAAAACTGAAAGTAGATTTGTTTGCTTTATTGTTTTCTTTTTCTGTGAAAGCCATCTCACATAACCACATGTGCTTGGGAATCAGAACTTTAGGAAAAAGAAGAACTTTAGAACCAAAGAGTTATCATAGGGTCACAAGAATTAGTGATCCTTTGAATCATCAACATCTTCATGTTCACTCGAGACGCATTAGTAGGGTGTGAAATGTCTCCATGCATTCCAATCTGTTCCCATGTTTTCAATTAGGCAGTTAGTTGTCCTGAAACACAGAATCACAGGATGGTTTGGGTTGGAAGGGACCTTAAAGCCCCCCCAGTGCCACCCCCTGCCCTGGGCAGGGACACCTCCCACCACACCAGGGTGCTCCAAGCCCCCTCCAACCTGCCCTTGAACCCCTCCAGGGATGGGGCAGCCACAGCTTCTCAGGGCAACCTGGGCCAGGCTCTCCCCACCCTCACACCAAACAAGTTCTTCCCCACAGCTCAGCTCCATCTCCCCTCTTGCAGGGTCAAACCCTTCCCCCTCCTCCTAGGGCTCCCCTCCCTCATCCAGAGTCCCTCCCCATCTCTCCTGGAGCCCCTTGAGGGACTGGAAGGGGCTCCAAGGTCTCCCCGGAGCCTTCTCTTCTCCAGGCTGAACCCCCCCAACTCTCTCAGCCCCCCCTCCCAGCAGAGGGGCTCCAGCCCTCCCAGCATCTCCGGGGCCTCCTCTGGCCCCGCTCCAACAGCTCCATGTCCTTCTGCTGGTGGTGGCCCCAGAGCTGGAGGCAGCACTGGGGGGTGTCTCCCCAGAGCGGAGCAGAGGGGCAGAATCCCCCCCTGGCCCTGCTGCCCACGGGGCTGGGGATGCAGCCCAGGGGTGTGGGGATTCTCGGCTCCAGCGCACGTTGCCAAGGCATGTTGAGCTTCTCATCCAAAGTGCACTTTGTGGACTTGGTTGAGGGCACAGGAAATCCTAAATTTGGTCTTGATCACCTAACCCTGAGAAGCCACTAGTCTTTTTAAGCAAACATCAGATCTTTCAAGTGCATTTTTGATTAAGAATGTTGACATGTGGCCTACTCGTGCCTTTGAGGGCTCCTTGCTTGAATCCTAGGTGTTATTAATTCACCTCTTCATTTGCAGGATGGGTTTCCTCTCGCCATTCTGAATGCCTGAAAATAGAGGTAGAAGGAACCGCATAGAAAAGCTTAACAGAAATAGTTTATTCTGAGCACAGTTGTTTCCCTCTTATGGATGCTGGTGAAGCCTGAATGCAGAAGTGAAGGTGTTGTTAGGGAATGGCAGGATAGATGGGAGGGAAGAAGAGGAGGGAGGAGAGGACAGAAGCTGCTGGTCTTTCAAAATTAAGACCTAACTCTAGTACTTTTTCTGGGACAGTCCGGAACATCTGAGCAAAGCCTTGACATTTGAAAATGCAGCAATAAGCTTTTGTCAGCCCACCTGAGACTCAGTGGAAACCCAACATTTCCGCTCAGGAAGGACCTCCAGATAACGCGTTTTATCCAAAAAAAGGGAGGGTGACCGGCTTAGTTTCAGTGTTTGCCCAACAGCTGTGATAAGGATGGTAACTGTGTGCTAAATCTGGTTTTGCAGACCTCTGTCTAAAAATTCTCCGAGAAGATAAAAGCTGCCTGGGATCGTTGCAGATAGTCAAGTGGTAAGTGAGTAACAGTGAAACCAAGACAAGATTGTGCTGAATAGCAAGACATCTACCCCTCGCGTTCGTCGTCTTCCTGAATTTGACAATGCCGTGCCCAGCACTGCTATCAGCTCTGCCAGCGCGACTCCCACCTCTGCAGCGGCTGCACTTGGCCTCTGAGTAACCGAGACAGAATTAGCTGCCCAGGATCATGTGAGTTCAAGGTCTGTTGAAGTGTTGGCTGCAGTGAGGTCATGGTCAGGCCCCCGAGCGCACACAGGCAGCGTAGGTGCAGAGAGAGGGCAAAGAAAAGCATGGGATTGATTCTGTTGTTGAGTCTTTCCTAGTTGCACCTTTACAGGGATTCCTGTGGCTTGTTTTTCAGTACGTACAATATTTTATCTCTCTGGATATTGTGTGCCTCAGTACCCTACAGCTTTAAGATGTGTTTCAGAGTTGGCATGTTCCCAACAAGCAGAGAGTTTGACTTTGATGTGCTGAGGAGATACCTAAGCTGCACATCCTTTGACTCAAAGAGTAAATATCTGACCATTGCTGCCTCAAAGAATATTTACTACTTGAAGAAAGTCCATAGATGTAAACTATGCATCAGATAACAAAAAATTTACAAGACTAGACATGTCAGGCCGCCTTCGCACTGCGGTTCCAGCCAAGCTCCGTACACTGCCAGTGGGAAAAGAGCCACTGGGGAGCAAGCTGGGGAGCCAAAATAGAGCGCTGAGCTGAGAACCACGCAGAGCCAGCCTTCGGCCTCGCATCCTTGTCTTTGTCAGGGTTTGAGTGGGTTGCAGGCTGACAGGATACGGCCTAGTATTATAAACAATGCACAAATGCAGAAGGGAGGACAGCGCCTTTATGATGGTTGACCTGAAAAGGACTTTCCAAGCCCCAAATGTTGCTAGCTCTGTTGTCTTAATTCCAGAAAAAAAGTGCACTTTAAACTGTGTATAATGAGTATGTGTTTACAGATCAGGAGATAAATATTGCTGGTTAGTGTTAACGTGTCTTTCCCTGGCAGGGTTCAAGGATGTTTTGATGCTTTGGAGAGGCAGTATGTAAGTTTTTTTTCATGTTTTTTGATGGAGTTTCCTATTTCTTCATAGACCAAACTATCTTTTCCATTCCTGCTTTATAGTTTTATAGTGATCTTGGTTGCCCACAACACACATTCCCAGCTGTGGGGTAGGGGGAAGACCCTGCCCTGAGTATATACATGTAAGACTTGGTATTTTATTCCTTCAGCCCAACTATTGACCGCTGTTGCTCTCCAGACTCGCCTGTACATGGCATGTGAACTCATTTGCAGCTTGGAAGGGCTTTCCCTTAGTTCTGTGTTTTACATTTGCGTTCTCTAACGTCTGGATAGAGACACTGCCAGTCAGAACTCAGGTCTTGATCTCCGTGCCTGTTTTCCTGACACAGGTTTCCTTCATCCCCTTTCCCCTCGTCTTTTCCCTTCTCCTCCTCTTCTCTAAGCCTCCTAACTTTTCTCTTGGGTTCAGAATTTATTACCTTTTTTTTTTGGAAAGTAGTTCAAGTAGTTCATCAAGTAAGGTATATAACTGGTTCCAGAGCAAAATCAGCTAGTAAGTAATCATATTCCTTGCTGATTCTCACACAAAAACTGCTCAGCACAGGAAAAAGCACCAAGTGTTGTCATCTCTGTCAGTGCTGTTCATCAAACCAGCTCTCATCTAGATCAGATGAAGTGGTGGTGTTTCGGCACTGATGATCAGATGGGCTCTTATACATCAATCCAACTGTCAGTGTGCGTAAGATAATTCAAAATGCTGTGAACTCAGTTTATTGCTTGCTGACAGTTCTAGGAGGTGTTTAGTCCTCTGCTATTTATGACAGATAGAAATTAATTGCTATTTGACAAGGGTTAAGGAAAAACCAGAGACGTTTAATGCATGTTCTGGGATTGTTTTCAAGAGCAGTCCCATGTACGTTTTCTTTCTACAGAATAAATTAAATACCTTTGGGGAGTTTTGCAGCAGAGAGCAAATATTAGTCTTCAGTAGCTATGAGTGCTCTTGTAAAAGAGTTTTAAGTCGGCATAGCCTTTGGGGACTTGTTTAGGGAGAGTCTCAGGAGAGAATCCTGAGTGTGCAGTTGTTTTCTCGGGAAACTGCAAGTAAAGCCAAGCAAAGTGGCCACTAGGTGTTGCTGATGCCGTGCTAGGGAGAGTCTCCATGGAGGGGTTGACCTCCCCGCCTGGTGAGCGCATCTGTTCCCTCAGTGTCTGTGGGCAGTTACAGTTTGATGGGCCTTTCTTTTCCTTGCCCACTAAGGTTAGATTCTGATTTTGTGTTTTGTGTTTCCCTCCTTAGTTACACATCGCTGTCCTCGCAGTAAGTAAACGAATATAAGGTTGTCTTTTCCCCTCACCCTGCTTGAAAAAGATACGGAGCCCAGGTTGCGTCAGCCTGTTTGCGCGCTTTTCAAGGGGAAGCCAAAATGTGTGTGGTTTTTAATACAGTGATGACCTTTCTTAAACCCAGGTTGCGTCAGCCTGTTTGCATGCTTTTTAAAGCAAAAATGTGTGTGGTTTTTAATACAGTGATGACCTTTCTTAAGTATGGTAATGCTGAACTTCCCAGGCTGTGTGGGAATATTTTGCTCCTATGTCAGACTTCTGCCTCTGAGGCCTTCCATGCATCCTTAAACTCCTGGAAGCACTTTCTTGTGCTTCATGTCATCGCTTTCTTTAAATTCTTGCCTCCACCCTTGGAAGCTGCTGTGTCTTCTCCATTTCCCCCGGCAGAAGAGCCCTCCCTATTAATCTGATATGGGAGAAACCACACTCTAGCGGTTACATGGCAGGTCTTTTGCCCTGGTCCTTTGTGAAGCCCCAAGAGCTATGCTATGCATCTCTTCTGTGCATCATCTGAGTCGTTAAATCTCAGGCATCAATAGTTGCCTGCAAGGGCTGGAATGGGAATTAACCTCATTCCTCCACAATTACACAGCTGAGTGTCTCCTACCTGTCTTTGAAGTGGTAAGTATTGACTGCTGATAGAGGAAGGCTGTTTCTCAGCCATTCCTTTCTCTGATCCCACGCTAAAGATAGTCCAATCTCTGCTGTAAAATGAAAATATCATTGTTTAGTCACTTTTCACTGGTTCAAGTTCTCCAAGAGGAGAATGCCCTCACTGTGCTTTCTTCTAACAGATTTACACCAATCCCAAGGAACCGGAGGTAAGAAAGAGTCTTAATTAATCTTTGAGGCAAACTGAAGGCATGGGTGAGTAGATTTGTATTCAGAGTGGACTTGTAGGCCTAAATTCTACCCTGACATAACTGCTTGGTGACCCTGTTTCTCTTCTTCAGACTTCACTCAAGAATGACAGCTCAGTGAGCTGGATTGTGATCAAACGCTCCCACCAGGCACCAGGCTGTGGGCCCATCTTTGGCCTCAGGCAGGGGCGTTCACGGGCAACTAATGGGCACGTTGGGGGTTTTGTTTGTCTTTCCTGAAGAGAAGGAATGGGAAATTCAAAATAATTGTTTTCCAAACCATCTTTTTAACAGCAGTGTCGAGAAGAGAGCTGTTTTTTTTCACTTCACGGGGAGAGGTTTAGGACAGGAGTTGAGAATCACTTCAGCCCTGGGATATGTGTGTCGCCTTGTGCCTGCACTTACCCTTTCTGTGTTCTTGGTTGTGTTTCTGGTTTGTCTCCACGTAGCTGGTGGAGGCAGGCTGGGCAGCGTGAGGTACCAGCCAGGTGCTGCATCCACGCTGTCCGGATGCGGAACCAGTGCTCACCTGATTGTAGTTCTGCTGCCTCACTGGGGAGAGAGTGAGAGTTCAGTCCCTGCTGAGGCTGGGATTTGTAAGGAAGGCTCAGAGTTAAGGGCTCAGCTCAGCTCCTACTAAACGACCTCAATGACTCTGGAAAAAGCGAATTATAGGCATGGAATTGGACTACAATAGATCCTTTCTCTTGTGGTGAAGTAGTGTGTTCTTCCGAATTATTTTATTCTCTAAAATCATAGCAAATCCTTTCCTTTTAAATGGAAAATCATCTGGGGTTTTCTTTTTTGTCTCCCTCAGAAAATTCTGAGACCGGTAAAATGCAGAAACTTTTCTCATGCAGCATTGTTTGCATTTCCCAGTAGGAAGAGTCCTTCAGGCCCTTGTGTCCATGCAGAACTCCGGGCCAGGCTTCCTTGTGACACTGTGTCACCTGGGAAGCCTCACATATTTCCTTTTAGAAAGGGAGGAGGTAGGTTGGGGTGGTGGGCTGGCCCTCCTTAGAGATTTAGGCTGGGGTGTCAGGCCCACAGAGGAAGTGGAAGGAGGAAGCAGGAAGTTTGTCATTTTTTGGTGCTTCTTTCAGCGCTAGGTAAGCTGGGCTTGTTAAGAACATTTGCCAAAGCCTGTGCAAGAAGTAGGAGAGTTAAATCTGTCATCGTGTCATTAAATTAATGCTGTGCTCTGGCATAAAGTTGCGAAAGGGCACTGCTAAGTTGAGCACATCCTTACACTCGTTACTGAGAGAGACCCATTTCTTCTTTTCCCCTCTCTAGACAGTGACTGAACTGTATCAATTCAAATTCAAGTACAAAAAGGAGGTGCCCCAGATGGCCATCATCAGGTAATGGTTTGGTTTGATTCCTCAGAATTGCACTGTGAAAATTGTGTTCTCGAGGCATTAAGAAGAAACTGCGCTTTATGATTAGAGCGCGTCTGAGTCGCTGAGCAGCTGTAAATATCATCAGAGAGGAGGATATTCACCCTACAGGATATGAACTGCCGAGCTGATGAGTAGAAATGCTGTTACGTAGCACAGCACGGCGCTTCAAGTGCAGCAGAACTGAATTAAGGATCATTTATAGAAACGGTACCTAATCAGGGCAGCGATGCAGAACCCGGCACCGCTGTTGCGCTTGCTGCTGTCTCAACTAATGACTGTCCTTCCATTTCCACAGGACAGCCTGGTGCTTTCAAACGCAGCTTTTTTGGGTCTGATCCCTTTCACCATGATCCTGCACCCAGGACTTTTTTTTCCCTTGGGCATTTGCATACGTGTTTTCTGCTTGAGCAGTCGTGCGTGGGTGACCAGAGAGAACTTTCGCTTATGATGCCTGAGTTGATGCTGCAAAATGTGTGGCAGGAAGCAGCAGCTTTTTGCATCTTTTTGGCTTTCTCTCTCTGTTAGGTATTTTAAAGCTGTGTTTAATAGGCCATAATCTTGTGTAGTTTAAAATAAATACTATCAAAGGCCGTTGGTTGTAACCAAAGCAAAGAAAAATAGTTAAGCTGCTTTTAGGTTGCTTCTGCAATTGCCGCTGATGGATCTTTGGGCCTCAGAACCTGCCTGTACAGCAAGAGAGCTCTGCTGTCTCATCTGCCCCTTAGGAAACCTGTAGTGTGGCATTAGCTGCTCTTTCTCTAAACACGTCCAAATAATTTGTAGTACGTGGCAAAATGATTTTCTATTGGGAAAATCTGAACTATCTGAACCTGGAGTGTCCTGTTGACTGTACTCTCTGTTTCTGCTTTGAAGCTGATGTCAGTTGTTGGGAAAATCTGAACTATGTTTGAACCTGGAGTGTCCTGTTGACTGTACCCTCTGTTTCTGCTTTGAAGCTGATGTCAGTTATCCTCACTACACTGAGGATAAGAGGAGACCTTTGGGATCTGAAAGATAATAGATGGCTCTTGAGTACTTTGATTTTTTAATCAGCCTTCCTCAGATCAGTTACTAGTTCCTAGAAATAACAGCAGTCCCCGAGTGGAACTCAGCATCCCTTGGTGTCTGTCCCACTGGCCAAGAAGAGGCTGTGTAATCTTCCTGTTGTGTTTGTACCTGCTCCATCGAAATCTCATTACTGCTCTGTTCATTATTGCTCTGAGGCTCCAGGGCCTGTGGCAGGGGATTCCTGGGCTCTGCTGTCTCTCCTCAGAGCCTGACGCTGCTATCGCAGGATCCTGCATGTACCTGCAGTCGCTTGTAAACTGGCTGTTCTGGCATTGATCAGAGCATTGTGTCATCTTTGCTATCAGCTCCTTCAGCTGATAAAACTGCTTTCCTACACCTGCAAGGTTTATTGTCCTGTGCAAACTCTGAGCTAATCCTTCTGTGAGAGATGTTTTGTGGGTCTGTGTCATCGTGTCTGAGTGGTAAGGGAAACTTTCACCTAAATGGTCTCTGCCATATTATAGATGAATTTTGGAGAAATTCTTTGCTATGGACCTTTCAGAGAGGTTCAGTTCCTCAGCTTCTACCTTTTGACACATTCCTGCTTTAAATTCACAATGTTATTCCCATATTGAACCTATTAATTCCTATGGAAGTCTCATCTCTTTTGCTTATATTCTTCCCTTTACTCTTTCTACCCTGCTAATCCCAAGCCTTGGAAAGGCGATGTGTAAGAGAAGCCCTGCCTTCTCTTTACTCCACCTGAGGCATTGCCAGCACTTGTCCTCTCGCTTGATGGACATTTCTAAACATGCAGGATTTAATCTAATCGCGCTGTTGGCAGCTTGGAACCTCCCAAACCCTGCTGTGGGAATTCAAGCTGTTCAGCAGCCACTTGGTTTTCCTGACGAGCCGAGAAGCTTCAACTGGAAGGGGAAATCACTCTTAATGAAGCTGTTCTTTCCAGTAGTTCAGTCAGTCAAATTCATCCCTGAGATTCTCTCTGCTCCCTTAAGTCACTTTCTGCTTTGGCAGCGACTTGGGATGATGATGTTAGATCTGTATCTAGTGTCATCCACCTGCCAGTGGGCTTCCAGAGACTTCACTTTCTAATGGAGGAGCTACTTTTTTTTTTTTTTTTAAGGCCCCTTCTCATTGAAAGCTAGGGAAGTTTGGGTTCCTTAGTCACCTAGTGATTCATCTGATCCATCTTTCAACTGCCTAAAGTTAGCTGGCTGATCTCAGCTGCTCATCTCATCTACCTCTGTAGTCAAGAGAAACAAACTGCTCCGGAGGGCGATTCATCCCACCTCTGTAAGAGGTTTCTCTCGGTCTAGACTGCTTGCTTAGCTGGCTGGCTGGCATTCGGGTGGGTGAAGGAGGTGAGAGGAATGCCCCTTAGTCACTTCTGAAAAATGTGCTCCTGAGCTGGTTTTTCTTACATGGAATTGCAGTGAGAACATGCAATTCACTTCTCTTCAAACTGCAAAATGGACTTGAAAACAGCCCCTGTGATGAATCGGCTTTATATGGGATTCTCACCTCATTCCTCTCATTCCTGAAATTGCTTAGGTGAAAGGCACTTGTTTTATGGTCCTTTGATCCAATTTAATCATGTTCAAACAAGTGAGTCATGACATTTGTATAATGGGGTCCATTGCCCCAGCTACAAAGTCTGTTCAAATGTAAATGCCAGGCCTCTTAGTTTAGAGCTGTTGTTTTGCTGATGCCACCCCATCCCTGGAGTCTGTTTCACTTCCCTGTTTATCTGGAAATTACATAAAGGCATTGAAGCTTTGTTGCTGGTGGTTTCAGACAAGTCAGTGGGTGCCCTGTATTTGTAATTACATCGTGAATATTCATGACTGAGGAAAACAAATCTGTTATTCTTCTTCCGATTGTAGCAACCAGATGAACTTGGTGAATGGGGTGTGTGGTGAGAAGGACATCAAAGAGGCCAGCAGGCTCCTGATCCGTAAACTCTACCTGCTGATGCAAAACCTTGGCCCCCTTCCCAACGACATTACCCTGACCATGAAACTCCACTACTACAACGAGGGTAGGTGGAGGACAGTGCGTGCTGGGGGGGGAAAATTCCCTTCCCTTCAGTTTCTGTGCTAATTATGATCCCCTGTAAAGTAGGTAAAGTATAGAAAGGTGAAATGGTGTAAGCTGTTAAGTGAGAACAGTAAGAAATGGTGTAAAGCACAGTAAAGCCTTCTGACACACAGGGATGGCAGAAGCTTTTTTAGAAGGGGTTGAACATCTGTGTAAGAAGCACAGGCAGGCCATGTGAAAGATGTGCTTCTCCTGCACAGGTTTTGTGTTTGGTTTTTTAAGGAACAGGCATCCTGCGTTTGCCAGGTTCTGCTCCAGAAAGTTGAGCACATTAATGGTATCTCAGTGTCCTAAAGTTGTTATTTCTTTGAGCTCCCTGATAATATTTGCTGAGCTCATTTTTTCCTTTGCATTCTCTCACTTCTTCCTGAAAAAAAAAAAAAACAACCCCAGAATATTTTTAGTAGTTGATGTTGTTACTTGGGGCTGATATACACTTGTTCTTTACAAATCAGATGAAGGAGGGATGGAACTTGATTTCTCTGACATCAGTGGGTTCTTTCTCCCTGTGCAGTAACTCCCAAAGATTACCAGCCCCCGGGCTTTAAGGAGGATGGCAGCCCCGGTGACCTCTTTTTTGATGGCGAACCTGTCAACCTGAGAGTAGGGTCAGTCTCCACTGGCTTCCACCTCATGAAAATGAGAGTGACAACTGAAAAGAAAAGAATGGGGACAGCTGGAAGCAACCTAATCCAGAAGAATGGACCTACTGAGATCTCCCATCAAGGGTTAGACTGTGATGAAGAGGAAGAGGAGGGGAACACAAAGGTATAGAAACAGCTCTGTTCTGTTCTTGCTGGAGGAATGGAGTTTATCCAGCAAAACTCTGCTACAAACCATTTTCTCAGAATCCTAGTTTAATAAGGGTTTCAGTTTGTGTAGGGCAGCAGCGCTGTGGCAGATTGGACACTGAGCCTGGAATTCTGTAGACATAAGGGAATTTCACTCCATACCCACTGACCTACTGACTCCAGTATGTTCTTTCTCCCAGAAGAGGGCAGTGATTCTACAGAGAGACACAGCACATGTGTGTGCACACAGACAACATGTGTGTGCACACAGACAACATGTGTGTGCACACACGCACGCATTTATACACAGACACGCACAAAATGGAGAAAATTGCAGAGTTTTGCATTTCCACTTGGTGTTTCTCAGGACTAAGCTATGTTCCACTGTGCAGTTAGGTGGGATTCTCTCCACTTACCTCTTACTTTCAGCCATCTCAAATTATACGCTGCGTCTAATGTCTCTAGGCCCCCCTCTGCGCTGAGTGGAGGAGGAGGCATCTTCAGCAGGAAATTCAGAAAATTCAGGGTTGTTCAGCCTGGAGAAGAAAAGGCTCCAGGGGAGACGTTATGGCAGCTTTGCAGTGTCTGAAGGGGCTCCAGGAAAGCTGGGGAGGGACTTTTTACAGGGATGTAGAGTGGCAGGACGAGGGGCAGTGGTTTTAAACTGAAAGAAGGGAGATTGAGATGAGATCTAAGGAAGAACTTGTTTGGTGTGAGGGTGGTGAGAGCCTGGCCCAGGTTGCCCCGAGAAGCTGTGGCTGCCCCATCCCTGGAGGGGTTCAAGGGCAGGTTGGAGGGGGCTTGGAGCAACCTGGTGTGGTGGGAGGTGTCCCTGCCCAGGGCAGGGGGTGGGACTGGATGGTCTTTAAGGTCCCTTCCAACCCAGACCGTTCCATGATCCTATGATAATTTCCTTAGACACCAAGGTAGACTGGAATGAACGGTCCTGTAGTGCTGCCTCTCCAAACTGACAGAGAAGGACTGAGCTACCTGGGCTGGTAGCTCAGACTTGACAATTTAATTTTAGGTGATCGGTGCCAGGGAATAAACTCCATCAGAACTAACTCCTGAAGACTGGAAGCCATTTAGGTTGGAATTCCATCTTTTCTGAAAAAAATTCTTTCTTGAAGGACCTGTAGGTTTGGGAGAAGAAAGGCCTGGACACTGAGGAGCTGTGAAAGTATCATCCCGATTAGAGCTGGGTTTATGGATTTACCATTTGGGCATGTTTTTTAGGTTAAGCTATTAAGACAAAGCATCATTTGCTTTACAGAATCACCCTGTACCTGTCAGAGCAGATTCAAGTGAGCACGGAGAGGGGAAAAGTGACACCCATCCAGGCTGGAAAACGGAAGCATCTTCTTTTTACCTTCAAGATACAGGTAAATGCCTGGTTTCAAAACTGAAGGAGCTTTTGTTTGTGATTATACCCGAGCATAATATTTAGATTTTCTCACTTGCTGTGAAATGGATGAGCAGAGTTTGTCAGGCTGTTTGAATTTTATGTCAGATCGGATTGAACTATAAGGAAGGGCCTGTTGTATATGCTTGGTTTGTTAACAGAAACATTCAATTTTTTATCAATTTCTTTCCACCTCTTTATCTCAGCAGTTTTTTTCAGATATGGAGGAAATGCACAGTTCATCAATACTGCATGACTTTATCTACATTTTCACCAAGGCTCTTTTCCTTTAGCTGTTATAGTTTGATTTTGCTAATGACTTCCATATGTGAAAACATACATGAAAATACACAACAGCCTTTTCTTGCACTTCACTCCACCCGGCTTCTGCTATACCATGCTGTATTTGACCTTTGAGGCTCTCAGATATAGCCTGTGGAACAATACCATCTAGTGACAAAATGGTAAATAGCATTCCTGAGATCCAGTGGCAGTGGAATAAAGAGGCTTGTCTGCCTGGGAAGTCACCTTTTCAGGTCTTTCTCCTGCAGATTCTTGGATGACTAATAAGGGGTGAGCTCATACTGCCACCTTTTCCACTCTGGGGATATTAACAGGCTCTTCCTCCTCAAACCAGTTGCCTGGTTTCATGAAACTGAGGTGCTTTGGGACCCCCCCATCAAATTTTATTGAAACTGTCTAATAAGGTCAATAGTTATTAGTCAAGGGACAGCCCCTCCTTCCCCATATACACCTGAATAGAGTATATGCAGGCAAAAGCTTTGTTTTCTTAGGAAACCAAGTTAAAACAGAGTTTAAGTATTGATAGTAGATGTGTTGCATGTTCAGGTGACGCTTTATTCTGAAATCCCTGTTTCCGGGAATAAACTGCCGGAGTCTGGCACTGCCAAAGGTTACACGATTTCAGGTCAGGCATGGGGTTTTGCTACAGTGGCTCAGTCAGGCTTCTGGATGGTTTTTTTTTCTATTAAATTTAGGGTTTTAACTTCAGAGCTAATTTTGATCTGATGTTTGGATTGTAGGTGGAGAGAAGATGACAGGGATAAAGGAGACAGGCAGGATGTATTGCTCAAGGGCATCTCAAAAGGTGAGCAAATTTCAGTGGCTCTAAGGTATGCTGGGGAAGGTGGAAATCATTGCCACGGAACATTATCTCATCCAGGATGACACAAGATTTAACCAACATTAGAGGATTTCTTGTGTGGTATCAAAATACATAGAAGCTACAAAGTTTTAGGCATTGGGATATAAGCATAAAGGAAGAAACTTTCCATGGTCAGCTTATTTCATCCCTCCAGTATACGAGTTTTGTACTGTTCTCTGGATTTGCCACTAGTGAATTACACACGTGGACTAAACCTATCAGTGCCCCAACCAGGCTGCTGTGCCTGTGTGTGTCTTTGGATTAAGGTTCTGAAATCACCGCCCTGTGTTAGTTTGAGGGATGTGTTTGTCTGTTTCCTGACACGGTCTTCCCCTCTCCTTTCTTGCTTCCAGACTATCCTTACGTGTGAGTCACAGGTACTTACTGAATCCTCTCCCTTTTTGGCCACCTTTCTAGGATGGGAATAATGATCCCCTGGAGGTGCTGATCTCTTTCTCATTGGGTGTGTGGGCAACCTAAAGAACTAGGATAGACCAGACATGTAATTTTAGATAAATAAAGCTATGCGAAATGAATTCCATCCTGAAGGCTGCCCAGGCCAAACCCTGAGTCAGAATCAGAACTCGAATTCATGGGCTTGTGCAGAGGTTTTGTCAGTGACAGGGCAAATCTCTGAACACCACCAGAGTCGCCACTTGATCCTCCTCCCATTCAAATGAGTTGAAAATCGTGTGAGCTGAGTGTTCAGAAATTGAATCGTTACAGGGTAAGTTAATGAGAGGAGGAAATTGCTACTAAAATTTTCCCCGCCTCTGTTGAAAAGAATCCCGGGGTGTCTAACCCAGACAGCAACTGGAGACTACAACTTAACGTGTCATTCAAAAGGCATCTGTGAAGTATTTGCCTTGACTCTGGGTCTCAGAAGTGAACTTCTGTGCATAGGCTGGTATTTTTCAAACTTTAACCACATTTTTTTTTGGTGTCACATCCTCCAGTTTCCTTCTGATCATTGTTTATTCTGTCGTCTGTGTGAAAACAGGAGCCTTTTTTGTTTGTAACTCGTGGTTGTCCTACTGATTCATGCTCTGACATTCTTTCGGGTCTGTCACGATTGTAAGCAGAGCACCAGACTCCTCTCTCTGCAGCATGTGAATGTCATTAGAACACGGTAGCAATAGTGAGAGTGTCTGAAGGTGGTGGAAACAGCATTAGTTGCTGAAAAATGGAAGAGTCACTTTATCCATTGACCGCTTCCAAAGACTTAAAAAAACCCAGCATCCCTGCCTGGTAGATTCTGCATGGCAGAGGGGGTTTTTTCATGTCTTCTTTGATACTGTTTTTTAAGCCACCATAGCTTAGAAGCTGACTAATATTTCAGTCAGTTTAGGGAAAAACAAAGTCAAGTCACTAGTTAAAAAGTGCAGATCATTGTTGTAAAGCCAGGGCTAATAAAAATCTGACACTATTTTCCATATGAGAGGGACTTTCCCTGCTTTTCTGAGGGAAGTGGTTAAGACAAGTGACCATTGTGTATTCCACTTGAATCAGGAAGCCGAGCTGGGGAGTGAAGTTCGTCTTAAAAAATGAGGACAAGCTTGGGTGGCTGGGAATTCTGAGTTAGGTATTATCTAACAGGGTCAAGTACAGGTAAGATGAGTAGGAGTAGCCCTGTTGGGGTGTGAGTGCAAACACCTTGTTGCTATCCACATACAGTACAGTCCAGCAACAGCATTTTCTAACTGCCAGGAGTGTTTGGAGAAGCTCTCTGCTTTAAGGAGCTGTAAGAGTCCCCAGAGTTAATTGCTTTTTCCTGGATTTTTAATTTTAATTGGTGTGTGAGGGGCCTTGGGGAACAACCCAGCCTGGGCCACAGAGGTGTGATTTTTGGGGGGCCTTTAGACTTGCAGTGCTGGTGCGTGATTTTGTGTGTTGGGTTTCCACCAGAAGAAGATCCCCTTGAATGAGCTGACGGAGTCATTGCTCACCAGCACTGCCCTTAAGGGAGTGGAGTGGGAAAAACTGGCCAGTGAGGAACAGGCAAAGAGGGTCCTGGAGGGAGATCTGCCCTTCTGTTCAGCTCTTTGTGGAGCAGCACCTCAGGGGCTTGCGCTTAAAGGTGCTCTCTGTCTAGTTAAACATTTGGGCCAACATTCTCAGAACTAACTAAAATGATTTGGAGTGTCCCAGAATTTGATGTCTGTACAAGGATTTGATATTCAAGAGGTGCTGAGTTCAAAAATGTGGTACCTGCAGTCACAAGTTGCTTTTGGAAATGTGGACGAGCCCATTCCTGTTCCTCCGCTGAAGTGAACTGCTTTATTCTTTCTGGTTCCTTAGTTATCAAAAATAAAAACTGGGCTGTTGGAACTGAATTTATTGGTCGTTATCTTCCTGACCTATAGCTCTTCAGGAAACCCAGGAATGAAAGTATTAAAGGCTTATTTTTATCTACTCGACATGGGAGAGGCGAAGGATGCCCATCTGCCAGAAGAGGAGCAGCTATTCCTGCCCCAGTTAGAGCTGTAACTGGCCTTTGGTGATGGCCACGGAGAGTCTCTGACAGAGGCCTTTTCAGATTGGAGAAAAATTTACATGTACTCAACCGGCTCGTTATCTGCAATCTCATGATTGATGATACTTAGGATCAAATGAGAGATTGCCCTTTCCCAGCAAAGCATCTCTGTACTTAATCATCTGGAGTTAGACACCAGCATGTCAATGAGCCTACCTCTGCTGACTTCGGGAGAGTTCTGCTGATTGCATCACCCACGGATTTGGCCCACTGTGCTGTCTTTATGCATCTTCCTACTTTCCACTGGCACTCTAGAGTTGGGAAGAGTTGGGTAAAATGGGGAATTGCTGCCCATTGGTTTAGCTTATAGAAATCTGCTGATGAGAATGAGGTCCTGCACTGAGCTTAAGGTAACTTCCTGAATTCTTTAACATACTCGTTTCTCCTTCTGTGAGTTCTTTAATATCCCTGTCCTGCAAACTGAATTTACTAAGCTTTGTCCTCATGTAAGCAAACATGTAGCAGTGGAATGAGTCTGGAATGAAACAGAACTAGAAGATGAGTAAAATCTGACCATGTGGACGCCTCTGCAGACTTTTTATCTCCCATCAGGAAGCTGTGGGCTGCAGTTCTGGGGTGGTCCTTAGAGCAGAGGCTCAGTGCAGGGTGAAGCAGGCGTGCAGAGAGCCCCGCATGGCCCCCGACCCAGCCTGCCCCAGGGCTGGGAATGGCGTGGCCGTATCAACGCAGCACAAGCCAGTTCTGCCTCCCAAGGGGCTGGCTTCGTTAGCGAGCGCCAGGCGCTGCTGCTGCTGCTGGACTGGCCACACTTGTGCTACGGGAGCACTGTGGGACATGAGGGAGCGTGTTGACACTTGGCCTTGTGTGGACATCATCGGTTTGGATCGGTGGTAGCTCAGGGGTCCCTGCGCTGGGATTCTCTGCCTGCTGTAGGCATGTTCCTGCCATGCGGAATAGCTCTCTCAACTGGAGCTGTCTGGAAATTAGATGTCTAGGGAGAGCTTCATACCTAAATCAGTGCTGGTTTGGACCTCAGAGGACAGCCTGTCTAGCCTCCAGCTGCTGCTCCCATGCAGAAGACTTGGCTACCTGGCCCTGTCCTGCTTCTCCAAGGGACTGTGTCAGCGATGGAGGCTGGTGTGAACAGTCTTTCAGTGATGACACACTATGGGCAATATCTGCTGCGTTTGCCAGTGATCAGTGTTCTGTTGGTGCCCAGGGCCACGGTCATCCTGATCCGTGTGCCTTTGCTGAGCTTCCGTGAGGTAAACAGCTCCTGCCTGAAAGTGAAGGTCAGCGCAAGTGGATCCAATTGCAGAACAACAGCTTGGAGATCAAGACCTTTGTTGTCTGATTTTTCCCAGGCAAGCCACTTTTAAAATTGCCATGACAGAAAACAGTTGAAGGGTGAAGCCTGCCATTTGCAGAGCTATAGGATAGCATTTTTCTGTGGCAATGTCATTATCTTGAACTTTTGCAGAAAAGAGAAAAAAAACAAAGAAACCAAAAAAAAAAAAAAAAAAAAGAAAGGTTTATCTCTAACTGTCTATCAAGAGTGCAGTATCTGATGAGAAGTTCCCAGAACATTTTCTCCTCCAAACCAGCTGAGGCTACACAGACCCAAACAATGAAGAGAGAAAGATTCAGAGATGAGGTTGCCTCTCTCCTTCCTGTGAGCTCAGGCCATTCTGGGAGGAGTGAGACAGGGAGGTCAGGAAATTCCTGGCTTCTCTCAATTCACGTCAGATCCTTAGCTGTATCTTGGGGCCATTCATCCCTTGCATGAGTTATCCCTGTCTAGTGCGCAGGAAGCAGTTTCCGAGTGATCTCTTGGTTTGGAGGTGAGGCTCATCACCCCGCAGATCCGGGGAGATTTAACCCTTGCACCCTCAGATTCCCTGACAGCCACCCCAGGGACACCCGCAGGAAGCCGTGGAGCTTCTGCGCTGGCTGCCTTTACATGTGTCCATACCATCCGTGCTAGCAACCAGAGCCTCGAGAGAAATCTGCATAAATTAAGGTTGGACAGCTCTAATGTCCCACGAGGGACTAAGCTGGGCAGCAGCCGAGTAGGCAGAAGGAGTGTCCATCGCCTCTCGCCTCCTCCGTGACAGAGCTGTGATTTTACAGGAGGAAGGCTAACCGTTTCGGGAGACGTAATTGTGACCTTGCAGTTGGAATGGCCAGCACAGCAGCACCACAGTGTGACTGAGGGCCCTGGAAGAGGTTACAAGGAGAGGGACTAATAAATTCTTTTTGGTTTGGTATTTCTGATTAATTTTTTTTTTTTTTTTACACTCTGGAAAAATCTGTGCATTGGTCCTTTAAATGCTACAGGAGACATGAGGGACAGAGTAGGCCTGTGAGACTTCCAGTTTGTGAAAAAGAAATTGCGTTGAATGTCAGAGACTTTCACAGTGAGCTATGGAAAAGGAAGAGGGCTAGTGGTAGTCAGTGATGTGTTGGCATGGCTTCCTGGGCAGAACAATGTGGCAAGTTTCCACAGAAGCACCACAGTGAGTGTCTTTCATTCTTCCACCTGCATAAATTGGCTTTCATGCGAACCAGCGTGAGTCTCCTCCACGTGTACCGATGAGAATCAGGATTAATTCCACTGATGTCAGTGCAGTCGCTTTACTGGAAACTGATAGGAGACCAGTGCTGAGCCCTACGATGAACGTTTAACCACTGTGCTGCCTTCACAGAGTCACTGAGGTCAGAGGGACAGTTGAAGAAGGTCATGTCCAACCTACCTGCTCAAAGCAGGATGAAGTGGAGCAGGTTTCTCAGGAGCCTGTCCAGTCAGGTGTTGACTATCTCCAAGGATGAAGACTCCACAACCTCTCTGGACAACTTGTGCCAGTATTTGATGGTCCTCACAGTTAAAAAAAAAAGTTTGTCCTCATGTTTAAATTTGCTGTATTTAGGTTTGTGTCTGTTTCCTCTTGTCCTTTCACTGAACACCACAATGTAACTTGTGAATCTTGGCTTTTGCTGTGCCGGGAGAGCATGGAGCAGCCAACTGTCAGGGAATAGATGGGAATTCTTTGCCTTCAAGCTGAGATCTGAATCTCTGGTCACCAGGGATGCCTCAGGTCTTAGGAGATCAATTTAAAGAGTCACTGGCGTGATTTTTGGAAGTGGCAAGAGTTTGCTGTGCTATTGAGTCCATGGTAGATGCAACTGAAATCACAGGATACATCAGGCACTGGCTCTCTCTGAGTAAAGTTTCCTGAGGATGACAGATGTCTCCAGACACCTGAGGATCGTCGTGCCTTATCTCAGCAGTTGAGTCTTGTATCTCAGTCCCTATGCTTCTGGCTCACTTGATGGAACTGGACTTCTTTTGACATTAATGTGCTTCTGAATTTGTCAGGATAGTTACAAGGTACCAAACTGAACATTCCATGTCCCTGACAAAGGGAACTCTTCTGAGGGCATAAAATTTGCCAAGTGCCAAGCCTCAGCATGGGGCAGGCCAGGGACAAAGAGGGACACAGCCGAATGCTCTTGTGCAATTTTAGCTTTTCTACATAAGGATGCCTTGGGAAGCAAAACACATGTCAGGAGAGCTGTAAATTTGCTTCAATTTATGCTGGGAATTTTTGGCCGGAATACGTGGGGACACTGGGGATTGAAAACTGCAGAGCACAAAACTAGGTCCTGATTTTGTCTATCTAAGAATAGCAGTGTGGCTGTGGTCTGCTCTTTCTGTTTCATCCACCAGTCTGCCTTGGGAAGGCTTTAATCTGAGTCTAATCTATTTTTAGCCTGATATCTTCTCCAGACAATGTGCAGCTGTCCTGTTAGTTTTATGCCAGAAATTAGTAACACTTGTATGATTCACAAGTTAGCTGTATTTTTACAGAAAAATTCGGCCGTGAGACACTACTTTTTTACATGTAGTGCAGTGTTGTAAAACTGGAGATTCAGACTCACTGTATGCTCATGGCATGACATAGATCCAGACCTACACCTCAGACGTCAGGAGGTCATGGGTCTGTTCCTGTCTTGGCTGCTTGGTCTGGACTTGTCCCACTGTCCTGGTGTCACCATGGTCCCTTCGCAGGACAAGCGCGCGAGGGTCCAGGCCTTGTACTGCATGCTTGTACAGCACCTGGCTCATCAGTGAGCTGAGGGCCTGGAGTGGTTGTGTAAGACAAAAACCCAATATTCCTACAGCACAAGCTCTCCCATCAGTTATTCTCAGTCAGGCATCCCAGTACATGGGAAAAATTAGAATTAATCAACTTCTGTAGGCTTTGATTGTATGTTTAGTCAATGGGAGGGATTTCCTGCTTTTCACCACACCGTTTAAGAGGTTTACTTTCTGGTTACAGTCAAATAAACATAAGTAGGATCCGACTTAATCCCATTTAGGGCAATGTTTCTGGGGAAGAAGCTTGAGTGTTTGGTTAAGGATGGGACGTGGAAGTTGGACTTGGGGTCTGTTCCTGGCTCTGAGCTCCTACATGAACTTGTAGCTGGGCAGGGGCAGGATGGGACACGTTGGCTTCGGCAAAATACCTCACACAGTTGACATCTTATTCCTTCAATAGATGAATAGTGCCTGTCTAGAGCTCTTGATGGCTTGCATAGATGTTTTTATCCTTCTCATCTCATCTCAGGTTCCTGTTAGGTGGTCACGCTGCCTGGGGTCAAAGGGAGGAAAAGTGTGGGAGAGTTGCAGTGGACTCTGGGTGAGCTCGTTGTGGCTGTTTCTGCTGCCTCAAAAGTATCCCAGCCCTGCTGAACATTTAGGAAGGAATAGCAAAGGGGGAGGAAACTTTACTGAGTAGTTGCCTGTGCTGCAGAAGATCCATTCCTCAACAGAGGAAGTCAAAGCCCCAGCTCTAGCTGATGCTCTCGTTATGTGGTTGAGGCTAAAACAGAAGTGGAGCTGCCTCATTCAGGTGACTGGGGGCGGGAGACTGGGGGGTGGTGGCTTTGCTTCCCTGCGTGGCCAGTGGGACAGGGTACAAACCCTGCAGCTGTGTCAGCACTGCAGAGATTTTGGATGGAGTGTTTTCCCCCTCTGGGCCTTTGACTTCAAAAAAGGAAGCAGACAGGTTAAAACGATGCCAGGGAGAGGAAAGTAAATAACTGCCTAAAATGCCAGTTTGAGCAGCTGGATATCAGGTCAGGAGCTGTAACACAGAGATCCACTCATCGCTCTTTCCTCAAGCAAATACGCCTTGGGCAGCGTTGGGAGTTTTGTCAGCCTGAGCGTGCAGGATAAAGGAGAACCTGCCCATCCCACTTTGGCAGATTCTTGTTTTCTCTGTTTTTATGGAGAGGAAATTGTACTTTCTGCATTAAGCAATATTGTGTTGCTCATAATGAAGAGGAGGGGAGAGGGGAGGAAAAACAATTTGAAACATGATAGGCAAAGTGCGGTTGCTTCAAATTATTTTGCTGTTAATCCATAATCAGAGTTATTTCACACATTAGAAAGCCCATTGCTATGTAGAGATTACTGAAGCCTCGTACCAAGGTCAGACAGAAAGAAAGCCTTGATGACGTGAGTGGGGAATTCTATAATGACCACATCTTGTAATCTGGAGACCTTGTGCTTGTCTCCAGGATGCATTCTGGAATAGCTCTTTATTAACTCCTTATGTTTATCCTGCTTCAGTTATGGAATTCATCATGTTTTATGGTGAAACTGGAGTAAAGTACTCATGTCTTGGAGCAGGATCTCAGTTAGTCTTATTTTCCATCTTCATTCACCTTATTTTCATCCAAGCTAACTTTCTTTTGGATCCTAAGTTGAAGCAGTGTGCCGTTGTGGTGTGTCCCTTCAGCTGGGTTCCAGGGAGAGCAGGAGAGGTTACATTACCAGACTGTGTGCTTTGTCCCTTCTGGGTGGGCGACATCACACGTTACTCTCTGCAGCTCCAGATTATTATTGTGAAAATCCAAATATGTTACAAGATAACAAGAAGAAATGAGTTTGTTGCTGGCACAGCCAAGACTTCAACTGTTGTTCTGGCTGTCCCTCTCTGTGGTCTGTCTGAATTGCCTGTAACATTGACCCACTTCTATTCTAACATACATTTATCCTTGGTTATTAACCTTTTGGTTTGTAGGCCCCTGAGTATTTTTGAGGGAGGTTTATGTCTCTCTAGAGGGAAGTTAAGCCCTCTTGGAAAAAAAAAAGCTGGCTTTGCTGTGCTATATTTCGCAGACTCACAGGTAGTCTTCAAAGTCTGAGATTGACCAACTTGTGTTGAATTTCCCTGATGTACAAGTAGAGGTACTGGATGTCTCCTCCTGACAGGCCATTTCCAGTCACCACAAATTTGAAATGTGCCCCCCTTCTTTTGCATACTTTAATGATTATCTGAGCTTGGTGAAAAAGGCTATGCCCTATAAACTAGTATATTTCTCCAAGGACTCCTTGCTCCTTGTATTTTCTGTCAGCGATTGGGAGATGGGTGTTGTTCCTCGTGCCACCAACTCCATTCTCTGTCCCTGAAGCTGAACCTGTTGCTTTCACAAATCTTACAGTCCCAATTCCACCCAGTATTCCTATTTTGATTTCTTGCCTAATTGCTTTTCTGGAGAACAGGATCATGCTGAACTAACCCAGGAGGATCCAAGCAAACACGGTGTAGTTTTGGAAGCTGTGTTTCTTGACTTGTCTAGCAGGAGCCTGCACCGTGAGAATGATCACTGTTTCTGATGGTTCTTACAGATAAGCTGCCTGAACCTTGCGTTTAGCCAGGAAGAGGTAATAGGACCCAAGAAGAAAAGGAAGGTCAGTGAACCAGAGAAGCTGCTTCTGGAAGGCAGGAAGTGATGTTCATTCTGACACACAATACATTTTGGAAGGTGTGACTTTGCGTTGTCATCTGACTAGTAAAGGCCTTTTACTGCCTTGCAATATTTAACCCTTCCCCATACTGCCTGTATTTCTGCATGTTTATGTGTCTAGTGCAAACTTGGGATTGCCAAGAGACAGCAAGCGCCATAATTGTCATGACAATGTTGACCAACAGCACTTGTTTGATGTTCTAAAGTTGAGGATTTGTGATTCCACATGTGTGGTGTCTGTGTGCTTCTCTCCGTCTCTCTCACCCCCCTCCACCCCCACTCCCTGGCTAAAGCTCCTTCTCTGTGGCTGGGCTGTCCTGCACCAATATGTCATCAATATCTGATGGCACTGTTTCAAGAAGAACTCTCTGAGGTACCAACACCAGCAAGCAACAAGTCTCATGATTCACTAGATTGTGCTTAACTTCATCCTATCTACTGTTTCCGGAGCATAGATTTTTTTTTTTTTTTAGAAGGGTTTTTATCTATATGCAATACAGAGATAAAGTAATCTGTACACATTTTCTGCTGGTGCTGAATTTTTTTTTTTCTGACTCTGCAAGTAGTGTTGCTATGACTATATTATCAGCTTATTTCTAAAACAGCAACCCACCATGTGCAAAGTGGCTTAGGCAGTTGTTCGATATAAATTGTGTTGAAATACACCGCATTTAAAGCCTAACTTTAATACAGGTACCTTGTGGTTGCAAATAGAGGTAAGGAGAACAACAGCAACAGTCAGCGTCCCTTGGAGCAAAGGTGCTGTGCTTTGTGTCATGTAGGTTGCCTGGCAAGCTCTCTGTTGAGACCTGATGGCTGCTGTTGGAGTAGGAGGAGCAAAATGGTCTTAATTGGTCTTAGACATTTAAAAAAAAGGTGTTCGGAAAACAACCTTTGCATTTCTTTATGCACATCACAAAAGAGATGCTGAAATAAGCAGCAGTGAAGAAGGGAATGTGGTGCATCCCAACGTCATGCTGGTTGCCTGGAGCGTTGGGATCTTACGGCGGTGGGGAAATAAAAGCACTGGAGCACAACAGAGTAATGCCCTCAGCAGTGCAGCAGCACCCCTGAGGTTTCAGCTACACAGCAAAGGTATTCCAGGACAGGACTTGCAGAGCAGCAGTGGGTTTGGATGCAAGGTGCTTCTTCATGGTGTACGTCAGACAGCTCTGTAGAAAGCAGTGAGGATCACTTGGCAAGTGTCTGACCCGTAGCGTCGAGGGCATCTGATTGAAGGCCCTGGGCCACCAGTGCTATCGCTGGACACACCGAGTTCCCTATCACCACGAATGTGGTGATGTCTTCTGCTGTGGCAGTGCCTGAGGCTGGCATTGGGGATCTTCCTCACTGCTGCAACAGTGACTGGATGAAGGGTGTGGATTGATGCACCTCTCATGCTCTTACTGCAGTTGGCCATCTGAAAGAGCTGGAATCCAGCCTAGAACTGGCCGAGCAGACAGAGATGATGCTGCAGTGGAACAGCCCTGGGTGTTTGGTCAACCTCCTTCTCCAGGTCGCTGAGAAATGCCCTGCCATCCTAGTGCTGATACCCCAGCTTGTCCTTACTCGGCCCAAAGCAGACAGAGTGCTGCTTGTCCCTGAGCCTGCAGCAGTATCTGGCAGCTTTTGTGGCTTGGTGCCTATTTCACAAAACTTGTAGAACATGAGAGTTCTTCATTTTATCCTCACTTTTAGTCCTGTGTTCTCATTTTTGCACCTGTGGCCTAATAAGCCAGTTTGTTCACATGCCAGAGCAAACCAGAAATCTTCCTTCTGCCCAGATTTTGTAACTATACTTGCTCACATGCCTGCACATCCACGGGAGGCCGGCGTTCTTCACGGGACAGCTACAGCTCAGGACCTGCCTTGACCTGAAAGCTCTGCCCTGGCACCTCTAGACTGCCTGGCTTTCTTATTCCTTCAGCCCACTGGCTCCTGCCTGCGCCCAGAACCTTGTGCCTTGTGCATATAGGAGAAAGGCATCTGTGTCTGTGGTTGTGGCTACTCAAATAAGTTCATCTTTCTCCTACACACATGATACCAGGAGGCCTGGGGACATGTCAACTCGCTTGGTGCATGCTGTCCCACTTGTCCCACGTGGGACAAATGTCTTGTCCCATGATGAAAGTGAAGTAGGGGATCTTGTCTTACCCCTAAGAGTGTGCACACAGACACCACCAAGTAAACCCACGGCTTAGTTGGCCACACGATGGCTTGGTCCATCGTGCCATGGCCAGAGACTCACTGTCTCAGTTCACGTTGGCTTCTAATCAGCTATTTTACGGTAATGACTTTTAGTCATTTTCATTTCAGGCTTGGTTAGAAATAAAGTACCTTGTGATGAACTGCCACAGTAAGCGTCTGATTTTTCTTTCCCACAAACTTGTGGTTACCATCAGATTCTAAGAAAAGTCTTTCCACTGCAGATTGGAATCATATAAGCCACTTACACATATCCTTTTATTTATTAGTGCTTTTGCTTGGCTGGCTAAAGGTAAAAAACCCTATTTCTTGTGTTTCAGTAGCATTTCTAGTTAATACTCATTAACTGACTTAATGTATGTTACACATCATCAACCTGATTCACTCCTGACATAAAACAGAAGCAATTCGTTAGTAACGGTCCCTTGCCAATTAGTGAACTAAATTACGTTTGAACAATTTTCTTCAAAGATTCTCCTCCTCCTCCCCCCCCCCCCCCCCCCCCCCCCCCCCCCCCCCCCCCCCGCGCCCCCCCCCCCCCCCCCCCCCCCCCCCCCCCGGGGGGGAAATACCCT